AATATTTTTCTGCCCTTTCTTTCTCGCGTTTCCTCTCTTCAGTTACCTTTATGTTAAATTGTTTGATATTGTCCCTCAGCCCTCGGGTGCTCTGTTCTGTTCTTTAATTCTTTTTTTCCCCATTTGTGTTTCATTTTGCATATCTTCAAGTTTACTGATTCCCCCCCCCCACCCACCCTTGGCTGTGTCTGTTCTGTAGCAAATCCACGAAAGGAAGTCCACATCAGACTCTATTGCTTATTTCTAGCATTTACATCTGGCTCATTTGTATAGTTTCGCTCTGTTTGCTGAAAAAGCTCATCTATTCTTGCAGCTCACCTTTTCCACCAGAACCACGAACATGTTCACCACTGTTACTTAAGATTCTTATCTGAGAGCCCAACATCTGGGTCATCTCTACTGATTCCTGTATCTCTCGACAATCCACTGTCAGCAGGTCCATTTTTGGGGGAGGTGTGTGTGTATCTAGTGACTTTTTTTTTATGTCAGACATTGTATATAGAAAAATAGTAGCTCCTGAGGTGAACATAATTACCCAGAAACAAACGTGCAGTGAGGCTATTGGCTGGGAAGGGTGGGGTGGGGACGAGACAATCTAGCCAGAAAACGAACTGAGTTTAGACTTGTTGTTCCCTCATGACCCTCAGTGACCACAGGCTGCAACTTCCTTCAGCAGAGGCTGTGGTCACCTGCTGTGCTTGGCTTGGGGCCTGGGGTTTCTCACTTCCAGCAGCCCTTGCACACCAGGCCCCGGAGCAGCTTTGCCCACTGCCCGTCCCTGGGTGCAAGTCAGATGGTGAGAGAAGGGACTCTCAGCTCCTGGTCGAGCTTCACTCACAGCCTTGAGGTGGGACCTTCTCAGCATTCCTGCCGATTCTCCCTCCACTCCACTCACCAACAGCCCCCAGCAGTAGTAGCAGGGCACGCGCTGTATCGTACATGATCTGGGTGGACCCCTCTCACAGATCCCCTTCCCCCAGGGACTACAGTGTATAGGGTTGATGTCCTGTCCCAAGTGGCTTGAGGCTTCAGCTTCCTGTTAGAGGAGAGTCCTGGGGGCAGGTGGGAGTGTCAGTGGCTGGTCACCCCCAGCACTGCACCACCAAGAAGACCCTATGCGGTCTCCCGCTCTGCCCTAATATCTCTCACAAGACTCATGGAGGCCTGCAGGCTGGAGCCCCTAGTAAGTGACAACTCTGTGGGGACGACTGTCCCTCTACAAATTTGCCAGCATGTTGGTGGCTTTCTCCTTACTCTCTGCCTCCTGTGCTCTGCCGAAAGTGAGGCTGTTCACGAGTCCGTCCCTCCTCAATGGAGTGGGCTGGGAACTCCAATCCCTTAGCTGCTTTGCAAACCCAGTGCCCTGAGGGTGTCCTGAAATCTGTGGCTTTTGCAGAATACCCAGCTCTTGTTCACGTGTTAGGATGGCATAGACAGTCTCTGAGGGAAGCAGAATCTCTATATAATTTAATCCCTTTTTCAATGTAATCCTTTCACATGGCTTGGCACATGGCTGGTGTTCCTGCGGACGAACCACACACACATGAACAGAATGCGTCACAAGACAACTGGGAGGGGTGCCTCAGAAACACCCATTAGAGCCAGCTGCCAGGCAGTGTTGCTCAGAGGGTCCAATCCCTCTACCGATTTTCCATCCAGTTGTCCTGTCAACTGAGGGGAGAGGAGTGTTGAAATTCCTTCTCTGTCCTTTTAGTTGTCTTTCTTTCTTTTTGCTGTTTAAATTTTTATTGGGGAACAGTGTGTTTTTCCCAAGGCCCATCAGCTCCAAGTCGTCATTGTTCTCCAATCTAGTTGTGGGGGGCGCAGCCCACCATCCCATGCGGGAGTCTAACTGGCAACCTTGTTAAGAGCATATGCTCTAACCAACTGAGCCATCGGGCCACCCACCAGCAGCTCAGCTCAAGTCGTTGTCTTCAATCTAGTTGCAGAGCTCACTGGCCCATGTGGGAATCGAACCGGCAACCTTGTTGTTTAGAACACATGCTCTAACCGAGCCACCCGGCCAGCCGTACTTGTCTTCCTTTTATTTCGCATACTTTGAGATCTGTTATGTCTTCCTGACTGTTTGTGATGCCTCATCCTTTATCCCTGGTGATGTTCAGTCCTGAACTCACCTCTCACTACTGTCTCCACGGTGTATCTTTCCCATCCACTTTCTCTCAAACTCTCTGTTTCTATATTGAATGCACATCTCCTACAGAATATAACTGCATCTTACCTTTTTTTTTTTGAATTTTGGTCCATCGATTTCTGTCTTTTTACTCCATTAACACAATATAATTACTGATATGGTACTTAGGTTTACCACTTCATTTTTCATTTCCTATTAAACCCTCAGTTTTTATTTGTGTTCTTCCTTCCCTGCCTTTTTGGGTAATTTGAATATTTTCAGAACACCCCTTTAATGTGTCTATTGGCATTTTAGCCCATTCTACTCTACACTTTCCTGGTGTGTATTCCAGAGCTACAATATGCATCCTTAACTTTTTAAATATTAAAGTTGATACTGTGCCGCTTCACAGAGAATGAGGACCCTGCAGCCACACGGGTCCATCTACGCCCTCCACCATGCTCCATGTCACGCTTGTCACATGTATCCCCTCTGAGTGCATCACGAATCTCAGAAGACAAAGGATTCACTTTGCTTTAAACAGTCTCACACGTCTTTTTTTTTTTTTTTTTTTTTTTTAGCTGAGCCATCCTGCTACCTGTTGGCAGCTCAGCGGCTGCTCAGCTCAGGCTGGACTCGAACCGCTGTTGCTCAGAGCTCAACTCACACGTCTTTTGAAGGAAGGAAGAGAAGGAAAACCATCTTCATGTTTACCTGTGTAGTTACTATTCTCCGTGTTCTACATTCCTGCCCGGGGCCCCGTGTTCTCACCTCCTGTCGCTTCTCTTCAGCTTGGAGAGCTGTCTGTGGCATTCCTAGAGTGTACATCTACTAGCAATGCACTCTCTCACTCTTCCTCATTTTGCCTCCATCCCTGGAGGGCACTGTCTGGGTGCAGGATCCCGGTGGACAGTCTCCATCTCTCAGCATCACTGCCCCTGGGTGCCAGGGTCCGACTATTTCAATTGCCATGTTGAGCTCTGGCTACTTCCAAGATTCTCCCTTCCCCTTTGGTTTTCAGTATTGACTTCAATGATGTGAGCACACCGTTTTCTTTTATTTATGCTGTTTGGGGTTCACTGGGCTTCTTGCATTTGTACATTTATGTCTCCCACCACCTTTGGAACCTTTTCAGCCATCTCTCTCCCCTCCTCCTGGGGATCCGACTCAGCCTGGGTGACCTTTACTGATCTACTTTCATTCCTTGGTTACCTCCACCCTGCTGTCCAGCCCATCCAGTGCGTTTCTTCTTTCAGTTATTGTATTTTTCAGTTCTGAAATTTCTACTTGGTTTTTTATATTTTCGATTCTTCTGTTGCGACCTCATTTTTTTCATTCATCAGAAGCCTGTTTCCCTCACCTTGGTGTGCACAGTCTTGACAGCTGCTTAGACCTGTCTGAAAATCCCAGTGTCCAGTCTTGGGGTTGGCCTCTGTTGACTATCTATTTCCTCCAGAATGGGCCTACTGTCCTGGTCCCCTATTTCTTGTGGGGTTGGGAACAGTGTCCTGAGCATGACAATGTCGTGCTGTGGGGCATCTGGGTTCAGTCACGTCTCCCTGGAGGGCACTGATGTCTTTCTTATAATGGCATGTTAACTGGTGAGACCCAAATGTAACCTGTGCTGTGCCTGGCCCTGTCCAGTCCTGCCCACTTGGGGGCTGTCCTCTGCTCACCGCCCAGCCAGCAGCCATGGTCCTGAGGCAGGGTAGATAGCCTAGGAAATCGACACCCGCCTCCAGGGTACAACATGAGGTGCCTCACTGGTTATACAAGTAACAAGTGACTGTACCCAGTACCTGCAGCTGGAGAAAAACAAGAACCAGTTTCATCCAACTAGGCTGATCCCTATGACCGAGACCTGATCTTTAGCTAATTTTAATGTCATTATAATGTCATTTGCATTGCGGTCATTATAACTTCCATCATGCATCTGACGCCATGACAGTTCTGAAGGAACCAAATAAGGAAACACAAGTGGGAAACCGAGAATCTCACCCAGGGCAAGGAGACGAATGAACCATGCCAGTGGGATGTCACCAATTCCCACCCTGGGAGGGATAAAAACCCCCTGACTGTGACTTCCTTGGTGTGACTTGTTCTTGAGTTCGACTGCACTTTCCTCTCCAATGTGTACTTTTATTTTCAATAAATCACTTTGGCTTTCCTGCATCTGTCTCACTCTTGAATTCCTTCCTGCATGAGGACGAGACCCCAGTCACTGCTGCTCTGGGTTGAGTCCTGTCTCCGGTGACAGCCCCACTGCCCACTCATCTCCGAACAAAAAGCCTGCTCTGCATGCTCACTCTGGGTGCAGCGTTTTCCCTTAGAACACAGACTGGGGGGACCTGAAGTCCTCCCCCTACCAAACCAGGCAGAAACGCGACCACCTTTGGGGTGCCCTGCCAGTGACATCTCCACGTGAACCCTCGTCTGTGTAGGGTGTCCATGGGCTTGTGTCCACGGGGGACTCAGTGTGGCCTGGAAAGGGAAGCACGCATGTTATAGGCCTTTTCATTCACCCGGGTGGGGGAGGGGCCCACAACAAGGGGATGGAGCCATCACCACTTGCCGTCACCACTCTGGGACAACTCTACCCAGGAACACAGAGACTGGTTCTACACGCAACGAACATGAAAACGCATGAGCTCCCTCATCTGCATTAGTCTACCCTCTGGGCAAGGAGGCTGGCTAGGGGCAGGAGTTCCGGTTAGATATCAAACATGGCATCAGAACAACATGGTGACACCTGCAGGCTGATGGCAGATGCTCAAGCAGTGACAAAGCCAGAAAAAAAAGGCACGAAGATACATACCCCACACATAATGCTAACTCTTGCAGAGTTTTTTTCTAAATGATTTTCACTTACCAAATGAATACCTGAAAAACAAAAGGAGAAAAATGTATTAAAAATTTGGCATGCTTTGCCAAAAAACTTATAAGATTAAAGCATCGGGTTACCCCATTAAGTAGAGCCCATGCCAGTGACCCCAGGACAGTGTAGGGTCAGAGCACAGAGCCATGGGTATTAAATGCAGCAGGAGGTGAAGGCGGCTCATCGGGCTTGAATCTGCCTTTGGGTGCTGAGTGGAGGGGAGGCTGGAGGGGAGACCTGTTCTCAGGTGATCTGAGGAAAGGTGAGGGTGGAGGAGAGACCTGTCCTCAGGTGCAGAGTGGGGGTGAGGGTGGAGGAGAGACCTGTCCTCAGGTGCAGAGTGGAGGTGAGGGTGGAGGAGAGACCTGTCCTCAGGCGCAGAGTGGAGGTGAGGGTGGAGGAGAGACCTGTCCTCAGGCGCTGAGTGGAGGTGAGGGTGGAGGGGAGACCTGTCCTCAGGCGTTAAGTGGAGGTGAGGGGTTGGAGCCTCAAAGTCCACCAGGCTTCCCTGTGGGACAAGAGCCTTTTCACCCCCTGCACCACCCTACACAACCAGTATAGGAAGGACCACACCCACAACAGCCCAATCAAATATATTTGGGGAAAAAGTAAAACTTGGTTTTCTTGCAGTAAATAATTTCAAACACCATAAAAATGTTATACCCCACAATCTAAAAACTTAAAGGATACTCCATTACCCTGAGCACAGATGATTAGAAAAGGGCCCCAAATGAAAGGAATGTGGGGGGCTTGTCTCCTCTCTAAGAATCTGAGGTCTGTCTTCACTTGGAACCCGAGTCCTCATCCCAACCCGGAGCTTCCATGATGCAGGCTCACTTTGTGTCCTTGGGGAAGGGAGGCACATCAGCACAAATGTGTAAAGACCTGAATCATAGATTATAAATCCCTGCAATCTAACAGAACAAAACTGGAGTGGGGGGGGGGTGTCACATGTGGCCCTGGAACAAACACCCCCCCACACCTGTACAGCTCTACTACCTGTCTCTCAGCCCAAGTTAACAACAAAATCCACTACCTGGACGCAAGAATAAAATTACTTTACCCGTATTTACAAACATCATGCCCTATTGTTTAGGTGTAAAAGAGAACGAGGCACTGACACACACTGCAACGTGGATGAACCCTGAAAGCAGCACATTGTGTGAGAGACGCCAGACAGAAAAGGCCACAGAGTGACTCCATTTATGTGAAATATCCAGAACAGGTGAATCTAGAGACAGAAAGCAGATCAGTGGGTGCCGGGGGGCTGGGAGGGGAATGTGGGTGTGTGAGGGCTTATAGGCACGGGTTTCTTTTGGGGGTGATGAAAATGTTTTACGCTTCGATAGTGGTGATGGTCACAGAACTCTGTGAATATATAAAACCACTGACTTGTACACTTTAAATAGTTACATTTTATGATATGAAAATTATGCCTCAATACAGATGTTTAAAAAACAGTTGCTTAATGAAACATATGAATGAACAGATCCAGGTCTGAGATTTGCACAGAGCCCTCAGTGAGGAGAGGACAGGACCCCTGGGGGATGAAAGAAGGGTGGGTGCAGATCACAGGGCTCCCTATACTGCCCACTTTGAAAGTGTGTGTCGTTTTCCACGGTGAAAAGTTCAGGTGCAGGCCCTGTAGGCAAGAGTAATACAGGGCGGGGCCGGCCGGGTGGCTCAGTTGGTTAGAGCACGAGCTCTGAGCAACAAGGTTGCCAGTTCGATTCCCACATGGGCCAGTGAGCTGTGCCCCGAGCTGAGCTGCCAATGGGCAGCCGGATGGTTCAGCTGGTGAGAGCACATCCTCTTAACAACAAGGTTGCAGGTTCAAGTCCTGCATGGGATGGTGGGCTGCGGATGGTGGGCTGCGCCCCCCACAACTAGATTGAAAGCTGCGACTGGACTTAGAGCTGAGCTGTGCCCTCCACAACTAAGACTGAAGGACAACAACTTGAGTTGGAGCTGATGGGTCCTGGAAAAACACACTGTTCCTCTTCTCCAATTCCCAAACACTGTTCTCTTTCCCAATAAAATCTTTTTTAAAAACAGGACGTTGAAGCGATGGGGGGCTAAGGGACTGAGCGTCAGATGGCCGGATTCTCAGAGCCAGGGGTGCTGGTGGCCTGGCAACGATGGCACTTCTAACAATCCCGAAACATCAGAGATGCATATTACTTACAGGTAAAACAACATGATGTGGGATTTGCTCTTTATTCTAGAAAAGTTGGGATGAGAGGGAGCAGACGGGTGTGCGTGAGGCTACTTTGTATTATACTCTGTACTTGAGAACAGATTTCTAAGTTTCCAAAGTAAAAACCCTTAAAACAGACAGTGGACACACTGGCTAATGCAAGAAACAAGTTTACCTGGGAAATTCTCCCAGTACAGAACCTTGGTGATGGAGAAGGGGAAAGGGGCTGATTTTCACAAACTCAGAAAGAACGAATGTTTTACATTTTTATCAGATCAAAGGGGAAGAGACTGAAAGCTGTCACGTCAGAGCTGGCTGCGTCCTCGTGGAAACCAGGGACAGGCCTGTGGTATTACCGCCATCACATTGGCTGAGGGTATTTTTAAAAATCTGCTCTTTCGTAACTTCACCTGTTTTGAATTTTGCATTTTAAGGCTGCCTGATATAAGATTTCTAAATATAGGTAGTTATATCCAATTACATGAAAAACTAAAAAGTCTTCATTACTTCTATAGCTTTTATTATATACTTTTTTTAACAGCTGGAACTTATTTTAGAAGAGAAGGTCGTCCATGGAGCTATTTTGGGTATCTTCTATTGTTTTGTTCTTTGAAGAAACTCAAGTCCATCCTTGTACTGAGACCTGCGAGTGGATTTTGCTCCCAAACGGTCTGTGTTAGCGCAGTACCTCTGCCTGCCCATTAAAGAAGGGCCTCTCCACAGAGGAAGGGCGGTGCATCTTCCCACGAAGGAAGAGTACTAAAAAGGGGAGGAGCCTGCACAGGCTCTTAGGCCCCGCTGGAATACTCGCCCCACAGACAAAGCAGTTCTGTCCACAGCCCCTTGGGCCTCATTCTATCCCAGTGACTTCTGTACGAGGCTCCTATTTTCACAGACGGCCTCTGATTAGAAAAGAACATCAAGCTTCCAGTGCTTTTTCATTTTGTAGAAAGGCTTCATAGATAAATATTTGTTAAATTACGCTCCTTGGGCTGTGCATGGGCAAGCTGTGAATTTGTAAGCATTCCCCCACTTTCTCGTCTGGCACCGAGCTCCCCGAAGGCCCACTCAGGAAGCAGGTAGACAGGAGTTGGTAATAAAGCATGTTCTTCGAAGCCACCCCCGATTCCTGGTGTGGGTCTATGGTTCATCACATCATCCACACTGAAGCCCTTGTCTTGTGGTGACGGCCAAACAGAAGCAGCTCAAGATGAAAATGCCATGGGAGCTAAAGCAGTGGCTCTTGGTGTGCCCAAGCAGTCAATGCCCACCCCGCCCCAACCTCTGCCAGAACAGCACATCCCAGGATTGTGGGAAGTAGCACCCCTCCCGGTCAGTGGGACACGGGACCCGTCCCAGCACCAGAAAGTCTCCACGTTGGTGCCACTGTGTGAGAGCAGAGAAGGGCCGCTGTGTGTGATGACTGCCGACCCTCCCTGTCGCGGCCCAGCTGAGCGGCTCTGGGATGGCTGGACCTCTGTGAACACACTCATCTGAGGAGGACGGAAGGGCCTGCTGATCAAATGCAGGCACTGCTTAGTACAGCACCTATAGCCCTGCCCTCCACCCTCGCCACCTGGGGCTGGGCCTCCAAGTGGCAGTGGGTACGTACTCCTTACTACCACAGAGTGGAAACGGCACCACTCTGCTTCCTGGAACCTCCTACATCTACCTGAAGGAGGAATTTATTTTTATGCATCAACTAGATCTGCACCTGGTGAAATCGATGAGCTACGGACCAGCACAGGGCAGCCGTGGAACCGCGTTGTGTTTAAGGCCCGGAGCCAAAATCAGGTTTTCATCCTCAATAGTCAGAGAAGAGCCCTGGTCGCCTCCACCTCTCCCGGGCCTGCTGGCATCTGCTCTCGGCACCCTTTGAAGTCGATACCCTGTCCCTGTGTCAGAGTGATGTGCCAGAGCCAGCTTCCTCCGCAGGAAGGGACCTCCGGAGCCGCTCAGCCTTGGTCCAAGTTTCTAGAGATAATCCTTTCTTCCTTTTGGGGGGCCAGGAAGGTGGGGAAGAGAGAAGGACGGTTAGACAGCCATCCTTAGTAGCAACAAAGGAGCCCTGCAGGATTACTGCCAAAGTAAAGCACAGATAAAAGGACCAGCAATCCAGCTTTCTGGAAAAGCTGATGCTAAGCTAACTGGAGAAGTGGGAACGGAAGTCACAATTAGTGTTTTCAATGTGGTCCCACTGTTTTAGGCGGGACAGTGCTTGCTAGTGGTGGCTGGGTTCTTCTTTGTGATCTAAATTCTATGCAATAATAGTTACTGAACTCTGCTTGTCTCTCTGAAATGTCACCAATCTCCAAGACGTTTAAACTCCTAGAGACAGAAGACAGACACCCGAAGCACCAAAACCAGTGTTTGCAGGAATCCATACTAATCAATGATTAAATAACAGGGGGGAAGAGACAGTGTCCATGCAGAAGAACCCACATAATGGGGCAGCGCCCCAGCCCTGAGGAGCCCTCAAGTGGGGGCTGCACTAGTGACTGCTCCAAAGAGAACACGCAGTGTGGACTTGGGAGGAAAGGAGGAGGTTCACAGTGAAGACGCCCAACAGACACGACCTGACTGGAAACCAGGGTCGGCACCGTGGAGATGAGTCGTGTGGATGGCATGGGCCCGATATGATGGATGACAACGGCTCTGTACTTCTGGGGTCTTCTCCCCAAACCCACAACCCAGTCAATGATGAGAAAATGTCCCAACAAAGGGACACTCTATAGAACATGTGACCAGTCCTCCTTAAAGCTGTCAAGGAGTCAAAGACAGGAGAGTCTGAGACATGGTTTGGCCCAC